CTCAAGATCAAAATCAATAAACAAGTAATGAGACAGATTGAAATGGTGTTCCTTTATAGGATTGGATGGGAAGGACACAGCATCACTTCTTTGTTATACCTGCCAAAGATGGTTACTCTGGATCTGATTATGATGAAATATCTGAGAGTCTCACATTGAAGGGCATTAAACAAAATAACTGGCTTTTAATATTCCCATGTGTCAAGATTTTATAAAAGTCAAGAAAAACCTGGGAACTCTTCCAGATTGAATGAAACTAAAATGACATAACAAATAAATATATATGTATAATTCTGAACTATATCCTTTTCTTTTAATGGCTATTACTAAAATAATTAAAGAAATTTGAATGGTTTCAGGAGTAGATGATAGTAATATATTAATATCAATTTTTGAAAAAAAAAACAAAAAAAAAAACTATGAACAAATACAACATGTGTTTTAAAGAAAATTAATTGAAAAGAGGGAAACAAAAACAGGAAATAATACCTAGCAATTAAGAATATGGGATTCAGTCCCATTTGCAACAACATGGATGGACCTGGAGGGTATTATGTTAAGCGAAATAAGCCAGAAAGAGAAAGACAAGCAGCACGTGATTTCACTCATTTGTGGAAGATAAACCAACACATGGACAGATAGAACTGTTTGGTGGTTACCCGGGGCAAGGGGTGGGGGATGGGCACAAGGGGTGAAGGGATGCATTTATATGGTGACTGACAAACAATAATGTATAACAAAAATTTCCCAATAAAAAAAAAAAAGAAAATACTCAGGTAAACTATAATTCAAGAGTAAAAGGTGAAATAAAAACATTTGCAGACAAAGACTGACAGCTTACATTAAATACCTATAATTAATGCAACACTAAAGTATGTACTTTAGGAAGATGGAAAGTGAACTCAGAATGAAATAGAGGGATACAGAAACAATGGTTTTGGTACTATTTTCTCTTCTTTCTTGTACTTTTGAAATATTTAATAACTATACATGTAAAAGATTTAGAATAGCCAATAAATAGGTAAAAAAATAAACCTCATTAATAATACAATTATATAGAGCAAAATGAGCTTATTCTTTTGGTAAAGATAAAAAAATTGATAATAGCTAGTATTGACAAAGGTGAGAAGAACCACCATCCTCTTATCTCGGTGATGAGTATGTATAATTGGTACAACTTTTCTGGAGAACAATTTCACAACACATACAAAAGCCTTAACATTCTGAATATACTTTTAATCGGCAATTCTATTTCTAAGAATTTATCCTAAGGTAATTATTGGAAATAGGTGCAAAGAAATACCCTACTGCAAGCTGTTTATTACAACAGTATAAAAAAGCAAAAAAATTACTGACTAGTTAAATAAATTATGGTACATCGACACAATGGACTACTGTATTTCCACACACAAAAAAATGGGATAAAGTTATTAAAAATGATATAAAATAGAGAAACATTTAATTATAAGGAAAATCATCCACATTTTATTAAGTAAAAATCAGACTACAAAGAGACTATGATCCCAATTGTTTAAAAAAATTCTGTGTAGAAAAAGAGACTCTAAGTCTATATATCAAAATATTAAAAGTTATCTAGGTGGTGAGATTATCATGATTATTTTCTTTTGATTAATCAGTATTTTCTAAATTTTCTAAAATAAGCATGATTATTTTATAATAAATATGATTTTACAAACTTTTTTAAAATTTCTATTTTTGAGACCCCTTTCCTTTTGTACTAAAGGAAAAATTTTTGTTTCATGTGTTATAAAAAAAATTGTTTATAAAAAAATGCAAAAACACGGCCAGGCCTGGTGGCCTAGTGGTTAAGTTTAGTGCACTCTGCTTCAGCGGCCCGGGGTTCGCTTCCCCAGCACAGACCTACACCACTCATCTGTCAGTGGCCATGCTGTGGTGGCAGCTCACATACAAAAAAAAAAAGAAGATTGGCAGTAGATGTTAGCTCAGGGCGAATCTTCCTCAAAAAAAAAAAAAAAAAAAAAAAAAAAAAAGCCCAAACATTAGAATCTCCAAATCTAATAGTAGGAGAGGTGATTCGTTTATTTAGCATTTCTCGTTAATAATTAACTCAAGGAACTAACAGTATCATCTCGCTAAAGATTAAGAGTTGAAACCATGAAAAAAGTTACATAGGCCTAGGTCTCTCTGTAGACAGCTGAAAAATATTTTATGACCAGCAAAGGGGATCTTCACCTAATATATATTCTGTTATTGTCTCCCAATTCCTAAATTTCTTCCATTCTTATACACAGGTACCACCCTCAACCAAGCTATAATAATCTTATATTTGCAAAAGAAACATTTTGTCTAATATTTGAGAATTTTCTGATAGCTGGAGAGATGTCTCTGCTTAACTGACCCTATTTGACACTGCTGGAAGCCTCCACCGTCCAAGAACAATATCTTGTTTTTCGGTACATCTAACGAAGAGCCACAAATCGACTTGCTTACTGTTCACTTCTTAGATATATTACCCGTTATTTCCAGTTAATAGTTCAGATCTGAAGATGGCTCCAAAGTGTTGCCTTGCCCCCCCACCCCCAATATATTTAATCCTTTCACTATTAAGATGACATTTGTATAACCATGTGAAGTAAAAGTTGTCTGTAACTAGCTGGAAGCCTTATGTATTAAACCTCTGCTCTCCATGTCATTTTGAACTGGTATACTATCTATGCTAGTTTCCTCATTTACTTTGGCATGTGCTCAAGATAAATTTATCTAAGAAATTTTGATTTGATACACCTAAACAGCTACCTTTTACTTATAATGTCCTTTTAGTTGGTCTTTTTTTCTCCATACACTTGTTTCTTTTGAAGCATTCTTCCAGTAATTTTTTTAAAACTGCAAATCTGATCTTGTAATTTCTTCTGCTTAAACTCCTTGCTTTTAAGATAAAATCCCAAATCCTTAACATGGCTTACAAGGCACTGCAGTATACAGAATCTCTCTCTCCAGCTTCATCTTATGCTCCCTCCCCTGCCTCACTCTCTGCCACACTGACATTTCAACTCAAATCCACGCTCCTTTCCCATTTCAGGTCTTTGCACATGTGGTTTGCTTTCCCTGAATTGTTCTTCTCTCTACCATGGAACTCAGTTAATGCTTATTCATCTTTAAGAGCTCAGGTTGAATGTCACTTCCTCAGGGAAGCCTCCCCTGGCTATCCTGATTAGATCAGTTTCCTCTGGTTTATGCTTTTACAACAGCTCCCTATTCTTCTATTTTTATCAATTTGTAATTATACACGTGTGTATATTATATATTAATAACTAGTTTCTGCCAGCAAAGTGTAAATCTGTGAAGGCAGAGTCTATGCCCATTTTGCTTACCATGGTAACGTCAGTCCCTAATCAGCACAATTCTTGACTCAATGTGCGCAGAGATGATTTCTAGGGGATATGATAAATTTAACTGATAGGAGGGTAAACGAATGTCTCTTGACATGCTTTTTCCTTTAATTCCGAAAGAGGTGGAGGAAGTAACATCTTGGAAATCAATAATAACTCAAACTTTAAACCACTGTAGAAACATGAGAACAAGTTCATCTTCTTGAGAGGCAAAGATCTATGAAGAACTAGATGGTTAAAATGTTGGCTTTTATTTGCTGGACAAGTCACTTAATATCTTTGAATTTAAACTTCCTCATTCGTAAAACAGAATATTAGTCTTTCCTACCTCATAATTATTGTGAGAATCAAATGACGCATGAGAAAGAATGGTAAACTGTAAAACACTAAACAAATGTTTATCTAGTATAGTTACTACTTAGTAAATGAAGCACTAGAGAGAAACATAGTTGGGGAAAACTGATAAATTTCAGCATTACACTTTTTTCATTATATGAATGTAAATATAGACCAGATAGAAAGTTCAGAATGAAAATGTTTAGAGATAAACCTGAATCAAGTAACATCTGAGATTCCTAAGGTTTGCTACGACTTAACATTCTTTTAAGGTAGAAAGGATGAAAGACTTACTACTTTTTTTTTTTTGATAAACATTTTTCTAATAATAGAGAAATATATAGCAAAATGGAATAAAGTCTATCCAGCTAAAGTTCTAGATAATAATGATGAAATGATAACAGCTAATATTTACTGAGTTATGTGCAGGGAACTGTTCCATATATACATATATAAATACTCATTTAATCCTCTTAATACTTTTATCAAGCAGGTACTATTATTATCATCTTCATTTTGCAGGCAGGGAAATGAGGCACAAAGAGGTTAGATAATTTGTCCAAGATTACACACCAAGTAAGAGGCGGAACAGGGATTTAAACTCAGGCAGTCTGGCCCCAGAGTCTACACTGGTCTCTTTTTGGTTTAGTACCTTAAACTTTGCTGCCATTCAACTTTTTATGTCTCAAATTCTCCACACCCACAAAATACTGTTAAGCTAAACATTCATCTACCGAGTTCAAAAGAAAGCAATTTCCAAAGCTGAGGGGCAGAAATGCAGCAAATGAAGGCTTTAAGACTTTACTATCACACACTTAAGATCAATTATATTCCCTTTCCTTTTAGAATCTAACTGCATTCTGATTTTAGAAGAGATGGTCAAAATAAAAATAGCTCAGTTATACACACTGACCAGGATATGATCCACTCGGTCTCTTTTCTTTCTTCCAAATTTCATCATTTTCTGCCAATCTGTTTTATGGTTTGGCTCCTTTTTAAGACTGAACAACTTGAGTACTTCAGTTGCTATGAAGTTCTGTGAAAATAAAAAGAATGAATGAAACACAAACAACAAAGTTCCTGAGATTGAGTGCTTACAATGTAGTAAACAGATTTATGCCGACAACATATTTATAATAAAAGATCATACAAAGTTCTTCCACTTACAGTTCCACTTAGCAATTTGTAGAGAAAAGCATTCCAAATGCTCAGACTTGATTCACTTAAAGAATTTTTGTTCTTACACAACCCATTGTGTAAAAGTAAAACCCATTGATGAATCTGCCAAGAAAAATCACTTCAGGGTTCCCTATACCCAAGAACCACCATAGCTAACTTCAAGCTAGCAAAACTACTAAGGAAAGCATAAAAAAAATCTCTGAACCCAAAAAATCCCACATAAATTTTGGGAGCAATGCTGTGTGAGCAACAAGGCTTTGGCTGGGATAATTTATTCTGCATCACCAAGATTTGAATATGCTAAATTAAAAAAATATTAATCAACACTGCAGTAATAAAAAGCATAATTTTACTGCTAACAATATTTGAACTATTATTTTTAAAAAACACTGTACAAAATGCTATTTCAATAATAAAATTAGTGGGCTACATCATTGTATGTTATAATGATGTATGCATTCTGATGATTGCTAGTATATATTATGCATCTTGTCTTATTTCAACTTATTTATTCTGTTATTAACAAAATAATTTGAGTTTTTATTACTTTTATGACTTTTCTGTTAAAAAGCAATGTTCTTAATGGGAGAAGGGACACATTTATGAATCAGAATCATTTGAGAAGATTTTCAAACTACCAATGTGCCCCCAGACTCCACCATACCCTGGCCTATATACATACAGACACACAGACACACATTCAAGGATGTATCAACTGTGGAAGGCTGAAAGGAATGAAGTACACAAGTTATTTTGAAAAAGTTCCCCAGGTGGTTCTGATACCCCATTCCTCAAAGTTGAAGATATTTAAAAAGTTTTTTTTTTTTTTAATGAATCAAATTAATCTTTGAAAACTTTTTTTTGCTGACTTTAATGTAAGCAGAGATCTGCAAACTTTTTCTGTGAAGGGCCAGACTGTAAGTATTTTAGGCTTTGTGGGCCATATGGTCTCTGTTGCAACTACTCAACTCTGCTGCTGTAGCAGGAAAGCAGCTACAGACAGTCTGTAAACAAATGACTGTGGCTGTGGTCCAATAAAACTTTATTTATAAAAATGGGTGGTAGGCTGGACTTGGCCTGCGAGCCATAACTTGCCTACTTTTGATGTAAGTATACATTATATCTCATTAATATCTGTTGGTGTTCTGTCACTACAAATATTTTTAAAAGCTTTCTATAGTTAATAATACTGTACTGTATATTTAAGTTGTGAAGAGAGCAGATCTTAAAAGTTCTCATCACAAGAAAAAAAGTTTGTAACTATGTGTGGTGATGGCATTGTTATCCTTTTGCAATATATACAAATATTGAATCACTATGTTGTACACCTGAAACTAACATAATGTTATATGTCAATTATATCTCTATAAAAAAAAGGACGAAATTGGTCAGGCAATGCCTCCGTGTTATATACCAGAATAATGTATATATTCCTTTAATGCATTCTGATAGTCCACATACACTCCTGGATGATATAAGAAAATACACAGTAAGATGAGTAATTGGAGGTATGCTCTCTTAAAAAAAAAAAAGCTTTCTACGATCAAATAAGTTTGGGAAACATAACTCTAGAGCCTTGCTACTCAGAGTGGTCCTAGGATCCACAGCATCAGCATTACTTGGGAGCTTGTTAGAAATGCAGAATTTCAGGTCCTACTTCAGATCTGCTGAGTAAGAATCTCCATTTTAACAAAATCCCCAGATGATTCATACGCACATTATACTTTGAGAGGCACTACACTGGAAATATAACCTTTGCTGAATTAAGGACACATGTGAATAGGCAGAGAGATTTCCACCAATTTGATTTTAAAGTTAGTTTGTTCGGAGTCCTTGTAGCTTCAGGGTACTTGACCTTTTCAGGGCCTTCTAAGATAACAAATAATATTTTTTATGTATCGTATTACTATCCTACATATTTCAAAAGCACATTACCAATTTGAAACCTCCAAAATCAAAGATGGAGAGGTAACAGCTATGTGTCCAGGGCTGGCATGTTTGATACATGACATTTTCAAGTGTACTTCTAGAATACTATACCTATCTCTAAATTACCAAAAAATCACCTAAAACTCCTACGAGTTGCATAACTTATCTATTTCCTAATTTTTTCTTAAATATTATATATTATATATTTTATATATATATGAAATGACTGTTAAAGGTTATGTTTTGTTTTGCAAAAACTTGAGGATTCAGGATTCCCTCTCAACCTCATCCCTCCATTGCTCATGGATTCAGTGAATTAACAAATATTTACTGAATACCCATTATGGGACAGGCCTTGAGGATAGAAAAGTGGATAATAACAGAAGAGTACCTGCTTTTATAGCATTTATGGATCTGTATAAACAAAAAGCAAGTCAAAAAAGGAGATACTCTATAGTTTGCAGTTTACCTTGATTTCATCAAGGTTATTTGGATTTTTCACTCTTCGGAAATAACTAGAGTTGATTCTACATGGCTTCATCCAGACAGGTTGATTCAAGTTGGGATCCTCGGCAAATATTTCCTCAAAAATCTCTTTTGTTAAATCAAAAACCGCCTTGATAGAGAAAAATAAAACAAAATAAAATAACTAAGAATCCAAATTTCAGACAATGGAGCAAAGTTTAAAATTTAGAATTATCCTTCCATGTTACATACCTGTTTGTAGACTCTTTTACTAGTGCTTTCTATATCTAGACCCTTACTGGCACAGCCAAGCAGTTTAGTAGGAATACTGACGCTATGAAGATCATGACCTAATTCTTTCCATTTCCAAAGTTCTTCTGCTGCATTATGCACAAGAATTTCTACTTCCTCTGCAGTATGTGGGACTGCCAATAACGTTTCACACGGTTTTGGGGGAACTCTTTTAGGTTCTGCCATTAGATGTACAATTGTTTCTTCTGCCTTATTTTTTTGGATCTTGTGAGAAGAGCTCAAACCAAAGTCTTCATCAAACCAGTCTTGATCATCTCCTAACACGCTCAGGAACTCGCGGCTGATCTCAAGTTCAGCAAGTCTCTTAGCAAGCTCTTCCTGCCCACTGGCACCAAATACTGGACTCTCCTACAGAAATGGAACCATTCAAATAGAGTATCATTTAGTGACCTCAGATCACTTAACAAGTTTTTTTTTTTTAAGACAAAGCAAATATATTATTTGTATATTTACTATTTCTCTATAAATAAGCACAACAAAAACAATATGGTGGCTACTAATGAACAATTTAAGACAAAGCTATCTTGTTTCCCTTAATTCTGCTTAGATAAGCCTTATAACTGAATTTTTACAAAATGTTTATTGATTAGTTTTTTTTTCTTTTTTTTATTATCATTATTCTGTTTCTGATGGACCTGTCTTGTCTCTGGGATATGGAAACTTCTTACCTTTGGTGATTATCTGGCTCAAGGTGCTCAAAATCATTACATTTGTTCAATTGTCCATCAACAGCCTAAACAAGTTGATGGTCTGAGTATATGTCACAGTGGATATATTTCAGTTTTACCAGAATCACTACCATAACCGGTAATCTCTGCAGGGCATCTATGACTGAGTAGATACGTGGGCAAATAATTTCATAGGCAAAAAAGACCTGGGTTGAGAACCACTGGAAAGCTCCATGGAATAAATTTGTTCAGGGAATCTAATCTGTGGACAGTATACAGGGTTTGTAAATCCAGCATAAACCTGTCAGTGTTTGTGACAACCCTATAGTGACCACTCGTGACATAACAGAGGGCAGTTATACTTCAGACAGAAAAATAGCTACAAGGCCTTTAAAAACTAGTACCGTGATCTTTATCTAATAAACCATACATCACCAAAAAAACTTATCAGGAGCTACAGAATTAAAATGTACTACCAAAGTAAGGTTAATTGACTTTTTTTCTAGATAAAATACTTACAGGTCTGGGACACATATCTGGTGAGGATATCTCTTCTTTTTCATCTTCCAATTCGGACCTTAAGAAGCAACCTGGAACACTTGGTGATTGTTCCTCAAGATTTTGGGATAGGCTTTGGAGTGGTACTTTCTTTTGATCATCGTCAAGAAGCTCTTGATTGCTAAGCTGGATTTTCTCATTCCTAGCTTTTTTGATTTGTTGTAGTTGATTGACTGTGTCCTTCACAAAGACTTTTAGTAAACTGTCTGTCAGTAAGCTGACTGTTTCTAGGTGTTGCTTTGACTTGTTTTCCTCACTTAGTGATGACCTCAGTTGGGCTTCCAATTGGTTCCTTTCTCTTGCTAAAAGGTCCAGAAGTGGGGTAGAGAGCTTTTCAGAAACCTCAGGATATAGGTTCTCTTCTTTTTCTGTAAACTGCTGTTGCTTCTTCAATTCTTCAGAAAAGGTATTGTCTAACAAAGTATCGTCTTCTACAGCAATGGAAACCTTTCCTGTGGCACCAGAGACAAGGTCTTTGTTTTCCTTTGAAGAAATCAGTAAATCCACTGAAGACTGCTGGTGAACATGGGCTTCAAGTACTCCAGAAATATCCTGTATATTGCCTGTTTCTATTTTAAGGCTTCTATCAACTGAGGCTTCTGTATCGTGCATACTAGGTAGAGATTTCTCATGAAAATATTCAACTGCATCCTTTTCTCTATCAAACTTGGAACCGTCTGTATCTTTTTGTTCTTGATTATAGTATTGATATTGTTCATCTGAGTAAGAGTCTTCATCTTCATTTATGTCTATATAGTCATCAAAGTTTTCTGGAATGTGAGATATTTTTTGAGGAGGAGCAAAAATACCATGCTTCTCTTTGCACACAAAGTATACAATGCCATCATATGTTCCATTGTTATTTCCTTCAGGTTTATCCAACTCCACTCCAGCCCAAAATCCTTTAGCAAAACTAGTCACACCTTTGAATCGAAGAGTTCCTGGCTGAACATTGCCAATTAATACCCTATCACCAATGTGGAAATCAAGTAATTCATCTGCAACAGAAACTGAAGCCAAGGAAGGGGATTCAGCTACTCCCAGTTCATGTTCTACATCACTGCGCTCCTTACTTTTCATAAGCTCAGTAGGGGACTTGAGTTCTAACAGCCTTTCAGAGTGGACACTGCTATGAATAGAAAGGCTTTTGTCACTGAGGCACTCACTGATTTCATCATCACTACCAAAGCTAGTGGCTCTACTTCTAGAGCTCCTAGTTGGCTGTGACTTATCTCTGCAAGACTGAGAGTCTTTCCTGAGTGACAACAAAGATGATACCTCAAAGTCATCTTTGTACAATTCTGCTGAAATGTCTTTCTTGAAAGAAGACACTTCAAAATCTTCAGAGTATGATCTCTCTTCAGGAGCAAACAGATGTTCTGACAAAAATGAGTCCCTTTCCTTTATGTTCTTGTGTTGATGAATGTCTTTTTCTGATTGGATGTTTGGACTGTGATCCATATCTTGATCCGACTCTCTCTCTCTCAACTCTTTTTTATGAAGACTTTCAATGGCTAATCTAACTATGTCTTTCTGATCATTTACGGAATCTAAAGGAAGATCTTTCCTTGAAAGAATTTCACATGAATCTCCCTGTTCCAGGTCTAGTTTCAGTAAGACATCAGACTTCCCAGATTGTTTAGAATAGGCATCTTCAATCACTCTCGGCTCCAATTTTGTATATTCTACTTCTTGTATTTCTGATTTTTCACTAGATTCTTCTTTAACTTTGGCATCTAACACATCCAGAATTCTATTAGGGGCATTTAATTCTTTGAGGAGAGGTAATGAAGGTACATTTTCTAGAGAATCTCCAGATTCTGCTCTGGTTTTCCTTGATGATCTGAGAATTGGAGATGAAGTCTGAAAATGTTCTTCTGTTCGACTGTCCAATTCAACCACTCTCTTTGCATATGCAGATAAAGACCTTTCTGATATTGATCTCTCAGAACCTCCCAGTGAAGCATCTAAAAGGAAAAAAAAAAAAAAATCACATCAAAATTATTTAATCAAAATTTTTCAATTTCTGGACCCAAAGTTTAAACAAAAGCCAAATCTTAGCAAGGAAAAACTCTGGTCAATAAATATGAGCTGTTTTGGTTCCAGTATAAGCTAAGTTTTCCCTTTAAGAGAATATACTGTAGCAACAATAGATAGAACATTTAAAATGACTAAAAATTTAAAGTTTTGAGTAATTTCTTAAGTGTTAACTTGTAAAGTAAAAAATATGGATCTAAGTTTATGAAGACATTGATTTGCAGGATAATTCCCAAATCATGCAAAAACAGAATTGTATGATGCATATTACATACATTCTTCAAAAAGGAAAGCAATGAAAGAGGGATAAATATACTTCTATATGTACTTCTAAAACAGTGAATTTTCTTGGGGACTTCAACTAGCTCTTGAATGTAAAAAAAGAAAAAAGATCAACTATTTCTGCAAATATAGCACTTTAAGAGCTAACATTGCAAAATAAGAAGAAATGAGTAAGATCTGATGAGCTAACAAAGAATTAAAAGTTTTGAATCCAAATCTATTTTGTCATCGTTGCTAGGTGGGCTTTTCTCATGCCTCAATTATATTTTCTCAGTGAATGACACTGTATTTTCAATAACTCTTATCTTTCTTTGGATAAAGTTGAAAAAAAAATGTATATAACCACTTACCCTGAGAAGTAATATAGGCTGAAAATATACACAATCAGATAAAAAATCTGATTAAGGGAGAATTTAGAGATGCTGATGATACACTCAGCCACTTTAGATTAATGTCTTTATGTCTCAGTTTTTGTCATCCATTTGGGACAATAAAGACTGATTCACATAACTTACGCATAACCAATAAATCACTTTAAAATATAAAAGTAACTTAAAATAGCAAATAATCTACTATCTTTAAGAAATTCATTTTTTAATCAAAAAGCTGTAGAGGTAGAATTGTGTAGGTATTTGCATAAATCCTTAGTCTGTGTAGATAAAGCCTAATTATTTTTTTCTGGTTACATACCACCATGTTCAGCAATAGACTCCAAGGATCCTCTGGAACGTTCTGACTCTGTTAGTGATTTCCAATTCTTTGCTGTTTCAGATCTGAAGCAGAAAATTTAATGAACAGAAACAAATGTATAGCTGATACTAAAATAACTGGTAAAAAAAAAAAAAAAAAAAGGCAGTCAATTCTTAGACAATTACTTCTTTCTTCTCCTCCACAGGAAGTATTCCAGCCTTTGCCACTTTCATCAAGCCTATTTCCGGCCCTCATCACTCTCAATAGATGATGTTGCCTCTTTTAATGAGAGGGTATCAGCATCAACTTTCTCACCTTCAACTTTTCCACCTACAAATTTATCTATATTCACAGCCATCTCAATCGCCTTTTCTTCTGCCTACAGGGAAGAAAAAGGTGTGCCTCTCACACTTGTTCAAAGCTAATTGTTCGAAACTTTTTCTGCCCCAAATCCCATACATTTCAAAAGCCTCACTGATGGACTCCTCAATTATCCATTCTCTTTCCTATAATCTTTAGTCCTTCAATCTGAAGTTTTTTTTTCCGTCAGCTTATGTATATCTCAACCCTCAGAAAAAAATTTCCCCTTCAATTCTTCATTCCTCCACTTTATGCAACTGTCCTCTTATTCTTTAAGTTAACAGAAAGAGCTACAGACACTATCTTCATTTTCTTGCCTTCTCTCTATTTGCTAAGTCATAATATTTGGCCTCTAATCCTACCTCTTAATAAGGCCCCTAAATGTTACTATTTTATCATATTTAGTACTTCACTCTCTTTTATTCTCTCTGAATGCATATCTTCTTTGGGTGATGTTGCTATACTTATGGCTTCAACTACCATCTATATGCTGATCATTCCCATATATCTAACCCTGATATCTTTCCTGGATAATTCTAATTAGATGAACTACAGGCACCTCAAAAATCAACATTTTAAAACCCAAATCATAAGCTTCCCACAAAAGAACACCCGATTTTCCATTTTCCATTTTCAAGTGGAACTCTGACCCAATCAACTACTTAAGAGAAACCTGGGAGTCATTCTAGATTTCCCCTGCTTTCCTACATAGCACTTTAAAGATTTTATTTATTCATTTTTTTCCCCCCAAAGCCCCAGTAGATAGTTGTATGTCATAGGTTCACATCCTTCTAGTTGCTGTACGTGGGACTCGGTCTCGCGTTGGACGGAGAAGTGGTGCCTCGGGGCGCCCGAGATCCGAACCCGGGCCGCCAGCATCAGAGCGCGCGCACTTAACCGCTAAGCCACGGAGCCGGCCCCCTACATAGCACTTTAATTAGTCAAGTCTACTTCTCAAATATTCCCAAAATCTATCTCGTATTCTTTATTCTTATTACTGCTGATTATTTGAGATCTGGCTTAGAGTACCGTTCTACCTGCTTCTAAGCTTACTCCTTTCTATCATTCCTTCATATCGTAGTCAGAAAGATCTCTCTAAACACAAATCTGATTGCGTCATTCCCTGGTTAAAATCCTTCAGTTGCTTGGTTAATAAAACTACAAAACCATTCAATAGTATACTATGTAGAAATTAAACTAAAATTTACAGTTTATAATATAATGGAAAATGTATACATAACAAAAATACACATAAAATCTAAGCATAAAAAATCCTAGAAGGAAATATATCTAATTGCTGACATTTGCTATTTTGGGATAGTTGGGTATGATATGATGTAAACTTTTTTCTTTTTACTGCTTCTCTCAATATTCTAATAATAATAATAAAAGCAACTAGTACATAGTACTAATTGTGTGCTAGGCCCTGTTCTTTTAACCTTTATAACAAGTTTATTAGTCAGGTGTTGTTAGAGGGATAGAAAACCCTATTAAAAAACTGAAGCACAGAGAGGTTAAATAACTTGCCCAAAGTCATACAGCTAGCTGCTACTGGAGCCAGGATTCAAACTCACGAAATGCTAAATTAATTGTAATGAGCCCGTATTACTTTTGTAACAAACAAAAAAAATCCCAAAATGTATTTTTAAAAAACCTTCAAAGCCTTCACATCTTCTAAAAAGTAAGACAGAAACTACTAAGAATGAGTGAGTACAAGGTGTTCACAACTTAGTTTTTTTTTTGGTGAGGAAGATTCACCCTGAACTAACATCTGTTGGCAATTTTGCTCTTTTTTTGCTTGAGGCAGATTAGCCCTGAGCTAACATCTGTGCCAATCTTCCTCTCTTTACCTGCAGGATGCCTCCACAGCACGGCTGATGAGTGGAGCAGGTCCGTGCCTGGGATCCAAACCTGTGAACCAGGGCTGCCGAAGCAGAGCATGAGGAACTTGAACCATTCGGCCACAGGGCTGGCCCCTCACAACTTGGTTTTTCTTTATTTTTCCAGTCTCTTCTCCTAACTCCAGCAACATCCTATTAAGTTCAGCTTCTACGATATGCCAAGCTCTTTCTTGCTTTTGATCATTCATGAATGCCCTTTTCTCTGAAATGTCCCCTATTTCTCAGTCCCACTGACCTGCCTAACCTCTACTCACTGTTCAAAATTTAGTTTAAATATTACACAACTTGACTTTTTATATACCATGTTAAATATTCTAATGTTGCTACTTAGTATCTTCAGTATTTGCATTTACTGGCTGCATAATATTCTACCTCTGGAAAGAACCATAATTTACTGGGCTATTCACCCTTTTGGGCATAAAGACTGCTTCCAATGTTTTATTAATATAAAGGATATTATGATAAACATATTCATGCAAATAAAGATTTTTGGTAGCCCATATTTTCTCAAGCTAGATTTCCAGAAGTGGAACTATTTAGTCAAAAGTTACAGATTGACTTTTGAAACATTGCCAAATTGTTTTTCAAAAGGTCTATACCAACTTATGATGCTACTACTAGCAATACTGGAGAGTATTATTTTCATTGCACCCCCAGATTTCAGGATTCAAAATATATTTTTAAATCTGTACCTTACTATAAATTTGATTTGTGATATCATACATAACAATTTTACTAGTGAAACTGAAAATATAAACCAATATTTTTACTTCTACAATTTCACAGTTACTTAAAAGATAGCTTCTACTAAAAATCTTTCCTTACTCTTTTCTCAAACAAGGCAAAAGATAGATAAGTTATCAAAAATTTCTACCTGTGTAGTGGAAGGGGCTTGATCTTGGGTTTTTCAGAAGCTGAGGAGAGTGTTTTAATCTGAGGCTTGGCTGTTGGTGATGTTTCCAAATCTCGGCTAAGCTCGGCTTCAGTTTTCTTAATGAATTCATCATATGTCTAAGTTTAGAAAAATCAGAGGAGTCACTATATAGAATTTTTAAAAACTATTTTAAATTATAAAATAGTATATTATAGTAAAATATCAAACAGTGAAGAAGATATAAAAATCTTTCTCCCAGCATCAGTCTCCAGAACTCTAGAAACAGTTACTACTTAATATATTGTATATACAATCCTTCTTGAAATAATCTATGCATAAGCAAGATATATAATTGTAACCCTAATATCAATTAGGAAATGATAAAGTCTCCATCTACAGAAGTTTAATACTTATGAAGCAGTAATTCAGGCCCTGCCACATTAAAAAACTTCTTTAGCTGATTATATAATTATTCTTTAAAGGGTATCCTAATACTGTCATACTATTTTTAAGAAGTTTAGCCATTACACTGAGTTTCAATGGCAGTAAGCTTCTTAAGGGGTAAGCACTCAGGAATACAAATCCTGAAGAGAGAGAAGGGTATGGTTGGGAGTAGGAAAGCTCAGAATTGCAAAAAATGTTTTCTAGTTATTAGCCGATCTGTAAACAAAACTTCACTAATTTATAACTCTAATTTGTATGAAATCTAAGGGAAGCCCTCCATCTATTATAACTCTCTTTAGTTTTCTGGGCTAAAATCCCTACTTTTACAACTCTCACCATCCATGTTACCTTTCTCTGAATTCTCAAAGTTTTGACAAAGTAATTTCTGCTATTAAACATATACTACAGCTATACGGTCTAGCTAGCTAGGCATGTATGAGGACTATGACTTCCCAGATCTGAAAGCTATACTTCTATGAATGTAGTTCATCTATTAAATCTGTGATCAAATAAAATCCAGAAGTTTTTTTTTTTTAACATGAACTACTATGTATTATATATTTCTTCGTCACATACTATAATTTTAAAACCTAAATACAGAACTTTCTTTTGTCTTCATTTAAACTATTTAATAAAATGTTGAATGAGATGGATCCTTAAGGCACTTCTCTAGAGATCTTTCTGGCTGACATATCCATTAATGAACAATTTTTGAGCAATGCTATTCAATCTAATAGTAATTCATTTAGCTTTCAATGGCTCCTCATTACCTACAGTACTGCTTTTAAATCCTGGGCCCCACCCTAGACTAACTAAATCAGAATCTCTGGGAGTGAGCCTGGATATTTGTATTTTTCAAAAAGCTCTTCAGTTAATTCTAATGTGTAGTCAGGTTGAAGATTACCAAACTCATCAGTCTGATTTCTAAGGTCCTGAACATAATCTTTATTTTTAAATTTTATTTCCCCACTACCTTCCAACATGAATTTCCCAGTATGGCCATTGTATCTTAACCACTTTTCTACTTCTAAACATCTGTGCAGGTTACAATGCCTGTTCCCATCTCTGTATTGTGTACCTGTGGAAATGTCTACTTTCTCTAGATCTGTTACCAGACTTATTTTCTATGTGGAAGATAATGCAGTATAATGATCAGAGCACAGAATTTGGAATTAGAGCCAGATTAAAATCCTAGCTTTACCACATATGAGCTGTGTGTCCCCTGATATCATAAATCTCACTCAAACTCAGTTTCCCTCTCTGTAAAACAGGGATAGTAATATCCACTTTGTTTCTTTGATGATAAAATGAAAAATACATGTAATTAGCAGAGTTCCTGGCACATAAATAGGCACTTGAATTATTTGATGGTTAAATTAATAAATGTAGAAGGATCACATGTTTGGTGTTATCACAAGGATAATTAAAAGGAAAGAAATTTTGGCTAAACATAACAAAGAGCTTTCTAATACTTAAGAGCACCTAGGCTCCAACAATGAAACCAACTGCCTTGAAAATCTGAAATTTCCTACTACTGGAAGTGTTGGGTAAAAGTGGAATGATCTTCTCTGGTGATGCCATGAGAAGGGATTCTTGTGATGAGTAGGAAGTTCAGACCGATTCTATAATGAATGTGGTGTTTTAGGAACACTAAGCCGGCAGAATGTACATAAGCAATAGGGAAGCAACTAGAGGCAGGTACATTTAAGAGGCTATGCAGACAGTACAGGCAACGGGTCATAAAGGTCCCAAACAGCTTGATGGTAGTAGAAACGGAAAGGGAAGAGCAAGGAACTTTATAAAAAAAAGAATCAATGGGATCTGGTCACTGAATAAATAGGAGAAAACAGAATGAGGAAGATATCAAAACCAGGTTTCCAGTCTGGGGTAGAATAAGGGAAGGCTGCTAGAGCTTGGGAGAAAAGTCAAGTTCAGAGTTACCCTTTAGGAGCCATCCAAATAGTACAAAGAGTCGTACTAATAAAGCTGTGTGGTATGAAACATCATTCTGTTAAAAATTAAAAAAAAAAAAGGCAGTAACAATTCCAATAGCTAGAATTATTTATGTAACGGTTCTTTGCTTAAGAGGGCATGGATATCAATCTTTCTTTCATAGGCCTAATCTTTCTTATTTAGAAAAAAGCTTTATTTTAATACTTTATTTTAATATTTACTTTAATACTTGATATTATAATATTTAATATTTTAATTCAATATTTAATGTTTTAAATAAGAGTTTGTTTAGATAGCCTCAGAATTTTTTTTAAGACTTAGGATAAAATGTGGCACCAAACTAATATTGAAAAATCCCAATCCATTACTTTATTAACAACATTAAAAACATTTTAGGCTTCACATATACATTAGCCTTGATATTAAACCCCTTTCCTCATATGTCTAACCTCTAACTGTTTGATCAGACTGGCTTCTTGGGCTTTCAGTCTTTCCTTTTGCCTTTTCTTCTGTTCCTTCTTCAACTGGTCCACAACTGATTTTCTTTTCCGCAACTCATCCTTCAGGGCTCTGATTCTACCTTCAATGTCACTCTGGTCAGACGTAGTTTCTGAAAGAGATACAAAATCTTTTATTTAATTTTAACTTAAGAATAAAGTTAGGGCTGGCCCCGTGGCTTAGTGGTTAAGTGCGTGCGCTCCGCTCCTGGGGGCCAGGGTTCGGATCCCGGGCTTGCACCGATGCACCGCTTCTCCGGCCATGGTGAGGCCATGTCCCCGATACAGCAACTAGAAGGATGTGCAACTACAACATACAACTATCTGCTGGGGCTTTGGGGAAAAAAAGGAGGAGGATTGGCAGTGGATGTTAGATCAGAGCCAGTCTTCCTCAGCAAAAAGAGGAGGATTAGCATGGATGTTAGCTCAGGGCTGATGTTCCTCACAAAAGAAAAAAAAAAAGAATAAAGTTAATTCCTTAACTATTAATGAAAAGCAGCAATGTAATCCTCATTTTAATAAAGTCAATCTAACACTTAAAATTAAGAAATTTCAGCTTCTGAAAAAAAATTTATTTGTGATTTGCATTCCTCCTTTCCCCTAAATCTCTATTTGGGGGGGAGGGGTCCTATTTATTTTCACTTTCTAATTGTACTATTTGAAATTGAAAATAAATCTCAAGGCACCCTGTCTTGGTAAGATAAGTAACTGAAAGTTGAAAAACTTTCAGGTTAGTGAAATTTGGACATTCTGTAAGGAATTATTTCCTGGTGACAGGATAATCATATTTAACTCTCCTTCCTCTTAGTTATTAATAGATAATTTAATAGTTTTTACATCATATTAAAATCAAACTGGAATTTTACCATTTTAAACTGATTGTGAGTCATCAGCTAATGTCCTAATACCACATAAAAGGAGAAATTATAAGAAATATACTCTGCTGTAACCCTTAGAAGCTCTTTGTTTTTATTTTTTTTTATTTACTTTTTTATTTTTTGTGTGTGTGAGGAAGACCAGCTCTGAGCTAACATCTATTGTCAATCCTCCTCCTTTTTTTTCCCCCCAAAAGCCCCAGTAGATAGTTGTATGTCATAGTTGCACATCATTCTAGTTGCTGTATGTGGGACGCGGCCTCAGCATGGC